CAGGACTCAGGGTCTCTGGTCCTCAGAAAAGATCTCTCTCCATATCAACGTCAGAGACCTCAGGTGATCCGCCTACCCTGCCAGGCATTCCTACCTCACATTGTAAACACGGTCATTTTGGTTCTCACGGACAACATGATAGCTATGTTCTACCTCAACAGGCAAGGTGGAGCATGATCTTCCCCTCTGTGTCGGGAAGCAATTCATCTGTGGGAGTTCTGCATAGCACGTTCAATCCATCTCAAGGCTTCTCACCTCCTGGGAGCACAGAACCAGCTGGTGAATTGCCTCAGCAGATCCTTCTCTGCTCACCATGAATGGTCCCTTTGGCCGGACATTGCAAGGATCATTTTCCAACAATGGGGAATTCCCCCATTAGACCTACCCGGATCAACAAGAAATGCCACCAGTTCAGCTCACTGCAAGGCCACAGCCTGGGGTCTCTCATGGACAGTTTCCTGCTACCGTGGACAGATAACCTGTATTACACCTTTCATCTTATCCCACTAGTGCATGAGGTTCTGATGAAGGTCATTCTCATAGCCCCAGCATGGCCAAGGAAACATTGGTTTGCCACCTTGTTAGGCCTCTCGGCAGAGGCCCCACTCCTGCTTCCTTTGTATCTGGATCTGATCTCCCGAGACCACAGTTGGCTACTCCATTCAAACCTCAGCTCCCTCCATCTGATGGCCTGGAAGTTCTATGGCTGAATCCAGAGGAGCAGGCATGCTTGGAGCAGGTCTGTAAGGTCCTGCTAGGCAGTAGGAAGCCCTTCACCAGGACCACTTACTTTGCAGTTCTCCATCTGGTCTTCCCAACATGGAGTTCTGCCCTTGTGTTCCTCTTTGCAGCTTATTTTGGAGTACCTATTACATCTGAAACAACAAAATTTGGCTATTTCTTCAGTCAAGGTCCACCTCACAGTGATTTCGGCCTTCCATCCCCCAGGCAACAAGAAGTCTGTCTTCTCACATGAGATGGTTATCCTTTTCCTTGAAGGCCTAGAGAGGTTGTATCCCAGGTTAGGGATCCCATTTCTTCCTGGGACCTAAACCTCGTCTCATCAAGGCTTACGGGTCCCCCATTTGAGCCCCTGGCAACGTGCTCATTAGTTCACCTCTCCTGGAAAATAGCCTTTTTAGTGGCCATCACCTCGGCCAGATGGATTTCGGAGATTCGTACCCTCATGTCGGAGCCCTGGTATATGATTTTCTTTAAGAATAAGGTGCAGCTGCATCCGCACCCGGATTTCCTCCTGAAAGTGGTTTTGCAATTTCATTGCAGTCAAGCAATCTTCCTACTGTGTCCTTCACAAAACTGCATTCAAACAGGGAGGAGCAACCTCTACACTCTTTAGATGTTAGACTGGCCCTGGCGTTCTATCTACAAAGGACCAAGCCGTTCCGTAGATCTGCTCAGCTATTCATAGCGGTAGAGGATTCTCAACTCACTGTGCCATCACCCAGCAGGCCAGAGACAATGCCAGCTTTGACCAAGCAGTAGTGCAGTCAGCATATTAATGAACTCCGAATCCACCTCTTATGCAACTGCTTGGGAGTCACCTACATTGGAATGGACATGTGCAAGCACTCGAAGGAGAAAAAATGGTTGCTAACCATTCTGTAACTGTTGTTCTTTGAGATGCGTTGCACATATCCATTCCAAGACGTGCCCCCATTCCTCTCTAGTCAGAGTCAGCTGGTAAAGAAGGAATTGAGGGGGCACAGGGTCAAAAGGGTCCTTTTTACCGGTGCTGTGTGCATGTGGCACCAGGGGGCATGAGAGCCGACCCGATGGACACCACTAGGGGGAAAAATTCTAGCAACTATGCTTGGGGCGTGCACACACCTACACTGGAATGGACATGTGCAACACATCTCAAAGAACAAGAGTTACAGAAAGGTTAGTAACCATTTTTTCATGGCTCTGCTTGTTTTGATGCAAATAATTCTCAGTAAGAAAAGGTGACAGAAGGATTGTTTGGTAAGGAAATAAATTTGCATCTGAAAAAATACTGATTTATTTGTGAGATTCCTAGGAGAGAAGACCCCACACAAAGATTTTGAAGCAAATGACGGGGTAAATACCATATCACAATATATATGAGGATATAATAATGCAAACAGTAGCAAACATGGAGGAAGGGCAGGAGAATACATTTTCCTGGCTAGGAAACTATTGACCATCTGAAGCCAGGGAACAGGAGTTCAGAAGGATATGAAATGGGGAATTTCCTGGTTGACACAGATAAACTATTGAATGTGCGTAATGGGTTGGCTTCTGCTCCCATTGAAATCAATAGGCAAAACACTTATTTGCTTCAATGGGAGCAAGATTGGTTCTGAAGAGGTATAGGTCAGATGAGCTGATTAATCTAGTTACAGGCACAGTTAGATAATCCCATCTATGCAGCAAACTCACCATGTTAAAGCCCCATTACAGCCTGGCAGTTGTGTTACAGATGTGCTTAGAAACAGAGTCGAAGTGCTGGAAACCCACATGTTTAGGAATCGTGTTTACCATGTTTTGCATTGAATCAATCACACTACCTGCTATTACCTTTTTAAAACCTCAGTAAAAACCTATACTGGAGAAGAGGTCCTTAGTTTTGTATATTTGTACCATCCAGACTAATGCACATGCATTGAGGAGGTGGTAAAATGGGGAAGTGCAAATGGAGGGATATCAACAGGCTTCTGCTTCATTTGCTCAGAAAGTTCAATCGCACAATGTAGGTGGTCATCACACCCAGCAGTTCTCTTTCGACCAATCTCATCAAAGACCTTTGGGATCAAAACCCTCGCTGTTTGCCGTAGCAGATGGGAAGGAAGCTCTCCCTTCAGCCGCGTTTATGTATGCAAATTATTGAAAACCTGTGACCCTGATGACTGGCAAGGGTTGCTAAATCTTTTGCTTAAATCCTAGATGAAAGAATTTGTTATTTGGAGAGGCAGAGATGAGAACAAGTGGTGTAAATTTGTACCACATTGGCGTACACCGGGAGAGAGGAAGTGCTTTTGCCAATAATTTTGCAAGCTATGGGACAGATTCACCACTGGTTTAAGGAAGTGCAATGCCTGAAGACAATGGAGTTGCACTCACTTACACTAGCCACTGATTTGGCCCCATGCATTCCCTGTCTATTCAACTGCAAAGTAGCTGGAGAGGAATAAAGGCTCATAATAAAAGTATAAGCCCTTCCCAGCCCAGTCCGAATTAAATGATCTTTTCTGCCACAGAGTTTGAGCCGTATACTGTAATCTCACAGCACAAGAAAGCAATTAAATGTTGCCAATGACATGTCCTTTTCTCTGCACATTGATATGAGACTATGCCATAGTAGAGTTTAAAGTAGCCAACACATATACTTTAAGAGAAAGCGGAAATGTCTCTTCAAAAAAGTGAAGCATCTCCAGGGGCTAGGAAATTGGTGAGTGACCAATGGGCAAAAAAAAAAAGTGCCATTACAATCTTTTTAAATGAAATGTTAGAATCCCTCTCAGTGGCAATAAATTCTTGGGATGATGAATTAAAACACTTGAATGCCCCAAATATGATTTAAGAAATAAAGTTAAGGAGTTACGGTTTTTGGTGTGGCATTTAGGGATTTAGATGAATGCTAAAATGTGGAGTGAATATCATGAAAACATTGCCTGACAGTACAGTATATGAGGCTGGGAATTGTCTCCCAAAGTAAGGGGTGGAACATCACGTGGGACAATTGAACCTAATCTGGACAAATCTATCACATATACTGGACTAAATGATGCCATCAGTTGCACCCTTCTGGTCACTGGTTTGCCTGGATCAAACTGAGGGCAGACTTAGACCCGCTGTAGGGAACGATCTTAGATTGGCTGTGGGCGGAGAATACACTGTGATAGAGGGCCACATCCCTAATTCCCACGATTTTTGGTGTTCGATTGAAATGGCAGTCACACAGTTTAATTCTCGTGTCTGTCGTGCTGGAGATGTAGCCATTGCATGAGCTTTTGCTTTGTGCAGCTGGCCCATGAATTTTTGTGGGTTCAAATAGCCTTTGTAGTTACTCTTGCAAATTGTTTAGCTGGCAAGTTTGACCAGAACAAGGAGCAACAAATTTAAACCTCTCTTATGAAATAATAATCCTTTCCCCTTCTCTAGCACCTTCCATCTGAGAATCTCAAAGCACTTTACAAACATTCATGTATTAAGGGTCACAGCTCCCATGCGAGGTGGGTCAGTATCGTTATCCCCGTCCAATATTTACAGGTGGAGAAACCGAGGCCCGGAGAGATGAAGTGATTTGACCAAGGCCAGCCAGGAGGTGAGCGCTAGAAAACAAGAATGAAACACATTTTCTAGTTCCCAGCCCTGTGCTCAGAGAGCAACTGTAGCTGAGTGGTTAGAACATGTATCTGGGAGCAAGGGAGAGTTGCGTTCTCTTCCTGACTCTTCCAGCGACTTGCTGTGTGACCTTGGACAAGTCATTAAGGTCCAGATTTTAAAAGGTATTTAGGCATTGCTGTGCTCAGTGATGCAACGCCAAACAGATTTAAGAGCCTGCATCTCATTTCAAAAGGGAGTTAGGCGCACTTAGGAGCCAAAATCCCATTGACAGTTGATGGAATTTAGATGCCTACATTCCCAACTCACTTCTAAAAATGAGATATAGTCTTCTGAGTCAGTTAGACTTTGCAATGCTGAGCACAGCAATGCCTAAATACCTTTAAAAATCTGGGCTGAATCTCTTTCACCCTCTGTTTAATTGGGGATAATGATCGTCCCCTTTGTAAAGCATTTTGAGATCTATGGATGAAAAGTATTGTTTATGTCCCAAGTTTTGTATTATTATTAACAAAACCATTCTTCCTCCCCCAGATCATGTCTCCAGAGATTCCAGAAAGACCTGGAACTAGCCTATTCCAGAGAGCCTCACTGAACTGAGCTTAATTTGTTAAAAAAAATATTTTTTGCCTGTTTATTTGTTTATGTTTCTCTCTCTCTCTGGTACTGGGCAGGTGAGAAGCCCCACCAGTGCAGCATCTGTTGGCGCTCCTTCTCCTTAAAGGATTACCTAATCAAACACATGGTGACGCACACCGGCGTGAGGGCCTACCAGTGCAGCATCTGCAACAAGCGCTTCACCCAGAAGAGCTCCCTCAACGTGCACATGCGCCTCCACCGTGGGGAGAAGTCCTACGAGTGCTACATCTGCAAGAAGAAGTTCTCCCACAAGACCCTTCTGGAGAGGCATGTGGCTCTGCACAGTGCCACTAACGGCACAACCGGCGCAGCAGGCACCGGCACCAGGGCTGTCCCTGCCGGGGTGGTGGCCTGCACGGAGGGGACCACGTACGTCTGCTCTGTCTGTCCAGCTAAGTTTGACCAAATCGAGCATTTCAACGACCACATGAGGATGCATGTGTCAGACGGATAAGTAGAATCTCTGTCTCTTTGTTATGAACAAAAAAAAAAATAGAAACAACAACAAAAAAGCTATGGCACTAGAATTTAAGAAATGTTTTTGTTTTCTTTTTATCTTTTTCTTTCTTCCTTTTTTTCCTTTATTTTTAGTTTCGTTGTTTTTGTACTACATGAAGAACTGTTTTTTGCCTGCTGGTACATTACATTTCCGGAGGCTGGGTGAATAATAGTTTTCCCGACCTCCCTTGGATGGTGGCCTTAAGGCCAGGTAGTGCTTCAGGAGCTCCACTGGTTGGATCTCTAGCTACTGGCCTCTAAATACAACCCTTCTTTACTACAAAAAAAACAAACAAAAAAATAACAAAAAAAAATTAAAAAATCTTTTTTTTTCTCACTTGTGAAGAGCACTACAAAAAAACAAAACAAGAGTATATTACGAAATCTACAAAGGCCTACTGTCATTTTAAGTACACCGCTTGCAGTGTTTCAATGGACGTAATTCACAATTCTGACCGCTCTCGGACTTCACAGTATCCAGTTAGAACTGTGGAATAGATCGCTACTGGTTGAACAGCAACCAGACGCAACAAGGCCCTGCTGGTTTCCACCATTTGTCTGCTTTATCGTTCTCTCTCGCTCTCACACACACACACACACACACACACACTCACACTCTCACTCTAAAAGGGCTGAGGAGAGGGCAAGGGAGTTTGGGTTGGATGGTGCGGCATCCCTTCAGGATCAGGAATAAGAATCACAGCTTCTTCTCCTGGATTCTGCTCCATCCCATGCTCTTAAGCTCACCCGCCCATCCCGCTTTCCCCTCACCACCAACACCACCTTTCAGCAGACACCAGGAAGATTCAGACAACAAGCAACGGTGGCTTTCTTTTGTAATTTATTCAGTGTCTTCGCTGAGCGCAGAGCCTCAGCACAATCAAGAGGGACTTTCACGGAAGGCAAAGAGAAACGCAGAGGAAAAACAAATATAGAGGTTTGCAACCTGCGAATCGAGGTACAAGAGAAGGATTAGTTCCCACAATCTTTGCAAAAAAAAAAAAGTTGCATCAGGATTTATTCTTGTGGAAGAAAGAGGAATAGAGGGAGGGTGGGAGGGGATAATTTAAAAAAATAAGAGTTCTTGGGACTTTTTTAATTGAAAATTTTATAGAGGGGCAAAAGTGACGTTTACCAGATAGAATGCTGATTTTTTAAAATATATTTACAACAGTATTTGTGTAAAAAAAAAACAAACAAAAAAAGTGAGATTGTTAAAAGTAATTTTTCTTTTTCTTTTTTGTTTTGCGTACACTGCCACTAATATCTTCTCTTTTATTATATATATACATATATATGTGTGTGTGTGTGTGTGTGTGTGTATATATATATATATATGTATATATATAAACTTTTAAATTGAGACTGTTAAGGTTAGCTAACCTGCTTCCAGATAGAGGGAGGGTGGGGGGAGTGATCCTGATTTTTGTTTTAAAAAGAGGAAGGATGTTTCTTCATTTTCTATTCTAGTATTATTGTCTTTTTCCTTTGTTTTTTTATTGTTTTGAGAATTACCTGGGTCTGTGAGGGCACTGTGAGGTCATCTACTATAGTCTGTCCATCCTGCAATGGCATTTGAACTGCTACTTTGTTTGGATATTTGGTTCTCTTTTGGCTCTTATCAAGGTCCTGTTGTTTATTTTTTGGTGTTCCATCTTGGATTTTGTTCCTGTTGAAGGGAGGTTCATTGTGAGAAGCAGGTTTTCTAGCAATGTTCATTTTGCCTCTGGAATGATAGAATTTATAGTCAAAAAGTATGTAAGATCCGGAGGTTAGGATTTCCCTTCCTTGTGGTCACTGGAGAAGAGTTAATCTGCTGTATTGCTGTCACCCTTCCATCTTGCTCACTACGGATCTTCCATAGCTGTGTGGAAAACTGATCTCCCATTAATTTGTATTGATGCCAAAATAACTTTCTTTCCATACAATTTCTAATAATCTGCCCTTCCCTCTCATTTGCAAAAATGTCAAATCAAAGGACATGTCTTGCATTCTTTGTGCTCCCAAAACTGTGCAAGGAATGCAGGATCAGCATTTAAGATTCCTGATTAGCATATATGTCAGTGTCTTTATTTTGTTCTGTTGTCTCTCATCTGGCGTTCTCCCTTACCTCCCTCCATGAAGACCTTTGTGAGAATTCCCCCAAGGCAAACTCTCAAAGTACTTGGGTTCTTAATTCAGCTGGAACAGTGTCTGACACTATCTTTGTATTGTTTGAAATCCTTATCTAGGATTAGCACCTGCTGCACTCTAGACTTTATATTTTAGGCAGAGAAGAAGCACCTAACAATAATATGCAAACAAAAAAAGAAAGAAAGAAAAAGAAAGAAAAGAAAAATTATTTCTTTAGATTTTAAATGGGTCTGTATTTAAATTAAACTTTCTTAGGTTTACAAAACTTTGCTTGTAAAATCTGAAAATTTCCAAATCATTCTTTCCAGACAACTTTCTAAAAATTGAATCAGTAGATTTTCTCACTAAATGCTGAGTATTTCTTAAGCCTACAACTTCTGTTTCAGATGTCTGTAATTTAGCACGGGTGGCTTAGTTGCTGTGGGTCAGGTGTATACGATTACTGACTTAAGGGGATACTGTCAGATACTTTAGGCTCACGTTTTTGTATAACATACCCTCAAGATCCTAAATATGAAAGGCATGATTCTTAATTACAATAAGATGGTGTAAAGGGACTTCAGAGCAGGCTTAAATATAAATAAGAACCAGGTCCCTTTTTTTTTTAATTTACAGTTACCAGTTGTTTTTAAAAGTGACATATTTGTATCATTCTCCAATATTTTGACTTGGCTACGAAAGGAATGCAAGTTAATTAGCAAATATTATTCTCACATCTATGTTGATGATATTGATGCTGTCATGATGAACCAGGAAGTGAAAGAGAGAGAGCCTACGGTACAAAGAGCAAAAGTTAATGTCTGCCAAATAAAGAACCCATTAAATCTGTACAGGAAAAAATGTTCTAACGACAATGGGGGGAGAAAACTATACAAAAGTATTTGACGGTGTCCCTTGGAAGTGAAATGAAATGAAATGATCGGACACAGTTTTGTCTCATGAAAGTTTTCCCACACCTTTATAGTTGTAGCCTGCCCATTCACCAGCTGAGGCCTGGAGAAAAGCTGTTTAATTGGCCATTGAGACATTTGTGAAAAAGCCAAGACATTGGATAGTTGCAATGTGAGTCTGATGTCAAAGGAGATACACCAGAGCGCATGAGATCAGGATTTACATCCTCAGAATGTTGAATTTAGACAGAACAATCCTGTTCGGATTAGACAGCTTCAATTTTCAACCTTCCCTAAATCGAACAAGCATCATCTTCAAAGTACAGATTTATAGCAGGACCTCATCAATTCTCACAAGTGCATTAAAGACCCATTATGAATGATTAAGTTGTGCTAATTAAAGAATAAACAAAGAAATAGATTTTAAATAAATAAGAGGTAAGAGTAATGCATCCCCGAATGAACTTTAACTGATTTGACCAGCAGTTCAGGCCAAGATTTTCAAAAATGGTTGCCTTAAATTTAAACTGATTGTAGTACATTATTAGTAATGTTCAGTAATAAGTGGCCTGGTTTTTCTAAAGCGCTGAGCACCCTGCTGCTTGGCTTTAGTAGTAGCTGATAAATGCTCAGCATTTGAAAATCAGGCCACTTATTTCAATGCCTCGTTGTGGAGTCGGGAGCCTCTCTTTTAGGCACTCATCTTTGAAAATATAGGCCTTGTTTTTTAATTATTTCATCATGCGTGCAAGGTCATGCCAGTGGAGAAGCAGGTTGGCCCGCGCTGTTCTGAAATTACCAGCACGCCCGCTGTTCTTGCCATGCGCCAGTACAAAGGGCCTTATTCTGCATCCCGTGGGCCTGATTCTCATTTACCCTGAGGCTCCTTTTAATGTAATTTACACCCACTTTAAGGCCCTTTTACAATGTCAGAATGCTGTAAAATTGGCCTTTGGATAAATGAGAATTAGGCCCCTGTGCACCCAGAACTCCCACGGAGACCAAATGAAGTCAGCTGAGCATATAGGAATTACTGTACCATTTTAGATCTGACCAGTCGTACACCTAGCCCAGTATCCTGTCTCTGACAGTGGCTAGTACCAGCACCTTCAGAGGAAGGAGCAAGAATAATGGACTAACCTGCCTGTAAGGGAAGTCCCTGTTAGTCAGATATCTGTTTATGCCCTGAATCTTGATAGTTCATGTCCCTTAATTTTGTACTCTAGCTAATATAACTGCCGACATTCTCATTCTCCTATAAATGTCTAGTTCTTTTCTTTTTTAATCCTGCTAAGCGCTTGGCATCAATAATATATTGTGGCAGCGAGTTCCAGAGGTGGTTATTTGCATAAAAAATATTTCCTTTCCAGTATTAAATATATTGCTATTGTCCCTTTATTCTTGTATTATATGCAAGGGTAAATAGGAGGACCAGATTTACCTGCTCTCTGCCATTCAGTTGAAGTCTGCCTCACTGGGAGATTTGAATGTGCAAGGAATGCAGAACCAAGCCATATATCTTTGTTGAGAAGTAAGGAGTGAACAACTGTTTTGTGTGTAGGTGTGAATTCTGGGGGGGTGAATTAGTGAAGTCCTACTGTAATTATCTCTTGCAAAGGAGGTGATGGCACAACTTGTAGTTCATGGGAACTATCTAGCAGGCAGTACAGTGGCTGAACACACCAGCTTACGCCTCTGGACCTCTGGAGACTTGAATAGGACGAGCTTCACACAAGGCCCCAGTGTTTGTCCCTGTCACAGAACTCTCACAGTTTGGCACAATTACTAGTCTCTTACAAGGGGAGGTAGAGGAGTGGAATAGATGTGGGTATTTTGCACGAGATGCTTTGAAATAACTTGCACAGCAGCTGTCTCCATTATGCCTGCTTCTAGCCAATGCTTTTAGCTGCACTCAGATTCACCCCAAATTTGTGATGAATTTCTACTGGAAGGAGAGATGTTTTTGGAAAGGCAACACTAGCACTTAAGGCTGCCATGCATGTCCTCGGAGAATTAGATTTGCACCGAGATCAGTGGCCAAGCAAAGTCCATTTTTCTTTGTTAGTTTGAATTTTTTTAATCCAAAAGAGAGACATGAGTATAACCACTATGAGCCCAGTCCCTCATTTCTTGTAGACCCAAACTCCCAGTGGCGTTTGAGATGCCCACTGAATGCTGGATCGTTCACTTTGCAAGCAGCAAGCTTAGGAAACAAACCTCTTGCGTTCAGTGGGTGTTTTCCACTGGGACCTTCTTCTCTTAGGGGCGAAACCAAAAACACTGAAGGATGAGACACAAAAGAGACTCATTTCAAGATACTTGAATCCAATCTAAAGTGTGAAACATCCA